GGTATGTGACACGTGGCATCTGTCACGTGGCACAAAGAGGGTTTAGGTTCCGCTTCGTGGTGTTATCCTATGGTAAATCACCATAGGATAAAGGGTCAAAACCACGTGCGCTACATTTGGTATCAGAGGATGAGTCTCAGCGAGTACTATTCAATGAGATTGGGCAACTAGTCTTGTTGCATACGCAGAGATGAAAACGATGATCCGAGTGGGTACACGTTTTGGTGCAAAGACTTTGCAATCATTCCTTGGGTATGGATTTGGTTACCTTCTTGTACCTTATGATGTGAGCTTGCGCTTGGGCTCATAGGATGGTTTGGAGATGTTCTGTTTGCACGAGTTTGAGCTTGGGCTCGTGAATGAGGCGCATTAGCAACTTGAGGTTACACTTTGAGTTGGCAGGATTAATGTTAGCCTATCGGTGGTTCTGTGAGTTGTTCCTTATACCATGGGTGAAAAGCAAACCTCCCTGGGTTTGCTGTGAGTGGCAAACCACGTGCGCTACAATGGCCATGGTAAGTTTTTCTTTCCTCAAAACATATGGTTTCCATTATTATAAAAAATATACATTTGTATTTTAGTATTGCTTGGCATGAGACTATATGATAGTGTAATGTATTTAAGAGAGTCATCCCATACTTGTGTATAGGGATGAGAGCGCATGCCTAGAAATCTCAAAACAAAAGAACAAAGATTTACAAGTGTAGTGCATGTGGTTTTGACCCTTTATCCTATAGTGATTTACCATAGGATAACCACAAAGCAAAACCTAAACCCTCCATATGCCACGTGTCACATGCCACGTGTCCAAAGGTTAGTGGTGTGGAACTCAAGTTTTAGGGCTTTGGGCCATTGAACGAAGGAATGGTGCCAAACTCCCAAGAATGGAGCCAAGAAGCAATGGCATTGGAGCACGGAACAACTCCTGAGCATATAGCCCAAGGAGTGAAGGGACAGGAGTAGGGAACGACTTGGATCAGTCTTAGAGCAAAAAGCATCCCAATGCTAAAACTAGCATGCAAAACAGAGTCAAATGGAGTTTGGCTCTATTTCGGCATACCAGTGGCCTAACGTGAGGATATGGGTACTCCATTAGTTGGCATGGAATGGAACTTGGGGTTAGACTCAATCTGGACATAGAACAAAGACAAGCATGCAAGCGGGAGTTAAACTATGCCTTAAGTTGGTCTACCATGCCCAACCTACCCACTATCCCTACTATACATTTGGAACTCCTATAACACCCCCCCCCCCCCCCCCCTTCTTGAGGAACACACGCTTTGGGCTTTCACCCTACACAAGACGAACACCATTGTGTTAAGAACAATTTCTACATTCCAAATGAGCAAATTTAGACACTTTCCATAAATAGCATTTGGGACCAAAATGAGACTAACACAAAGGGCATGATAGCGAGGGTATTTGGGAGATACAATAAGCTATCATTCAGCAATATTGAGGGACTAGTCTCAATATACGAGGGTTCTTGTCAAGCCAATGCAAGATAGAGCAAAAGAAAACTAAAAAGCCAAACCAAATATGTTTAGCTAAATAGAGACTTAGGAATTCTATCCTTATGCTCATCCGGCCAAATACATATGCAAAGTCCAATTTACTAACACTTGAACAAGAGGGACTAATAAAAGGTCCAGCAATACCAACCTCCTACCATCATGGCAGTAAGGAAAAAGTGTCCATAAGGACTATCCGACAAGTAACTTTCGATACTCGAAGTCACATTTGCGACACTCTCCCCCCCTAGGGAAGATCGACGTCCTTGTCAATGCATATTTGAGTTTAGACCACTGCAAAGGAAATAACTCCAGAAAAAGTTCATGGTGATCACACTATGTGAAAAATGCACCAACTTAAATGAGTTAAGAAGCAACCTTTTTATCTAATGTGGATGCACTACCAGCTCAGACACCTTTTGGCCATTGCCGACAAGGAAATAACCAATGGAGTTAGCCACCCTTGCTACTCTGGGTGTCACCCAGCTTACAAAAGTGTGATAGGCCCTTGCCCACAAGGATATAGAGAGAGAAGCCAAAGGTGCCAACCCTCATGAGCAAAGAAACCAAACCCGTCAGTAAGGTTTAGATAGACTACTATTGTAAATAGGTAGTTAGAGTTGTTTACACGGTCACGCCCTTTTAACGGAATAAGAAACATCAATAGAGAAGTGGGTGATATGATCAATCATTAATAGCTACCCCATGACTAAAGATTTCACCATGCACACGAAGTGCTGAAACCAGTCTGCCTATACTGGCCCAAACTCAAAGATCAATAGATAGATAATATCAAAGTTATAGACAATGATAGCTTAAAGATTTAATTATTAGTGACTAAATCTTAGATTGGAACACAAAAGTATTCTAAGTAATTTATCATCTGATAAACCAGTATTATAGGATAGGAACCACCAAAAGCACTATAGTTAGAAAACATAGGATTTAATATCCAACAAAATTCAATAATCAGTGTATCATCAAGGAAACTTAATGATAAAATTTAACTATCAAATATAGTAGATAGTATGTTAAACAACTTACAAAAGATAACTGAAAGAACACAAAGTATCATGAACCGACAAGCACAATGCTCACGAATGTATCACCCGAAGGAAATAACATCCTAATCTATTAGAACTAACTCGAGCAATAATCAATAGAACAGAATGAATGTGGGAAAACCAACAAACACTCATTCATGCCAACTATCACACTAGCTAATTTGACTAAATCCCGATCAACAATACAAAGGAACTAAAGTTGCTTAAGCAAGTGTTAGCAACGTCTGGCTTATGGCTTTTCACAATACCACATATTCCTTGTGGTTTGCCTTGGATTGGTCTCTTGGGTTTGAAACATTAGTAGAGCTTGACAAACTCGAAAATGTCTTCCTAATTCAAAATCCAAAATGGCTATCACCACTAATCATTGTCCCCAAGAAGAAAAACAAGCTTAGGATTTGTGTCAACTATAAAAAGCTCAACGATACAACTCAAAAAGACTCCTTTTCAATTCCATTCTTTGATAAAATTCTTGATGCAATTGTAGGATATGAAATGTACTCCTTTCTCAATGGCTTCAATAGACACTATCAAGTACACATTGCATCTGAAGATCAACACAAGATAGCTTTCATCAATCCATAGGGAGCATATGCCTACCTTCGCATGCCTTTCAGTCTCTCCAATGCACCATTCATGTTTCAATAGATCATCACTAACACTTTTTGAGACTACCTCACCGAATTTATACGAGTATTTATGGATGACTTTAGTGTCTTCAGCAACAAAGAAGATCATCTCCAATGCTTAGAAAAATTCTTCATCAAATGCCATGAACACAATATCACATTGAACCCTAACAAGTACATTTTCTTCGTCAAATCAGGAATTCTACTTGGACATGTAGTTTCCAAAGAACGAATCCTCATTAACAAGGACACAATCACCAATATACAACATCCATTTGACATTTCAAGCCTTCAATCACTCCTCAGTAAGATGGGATACCATTGAAGATTCATCAAAGACTACACTAAGATTGCAAAACCCATCACCGAACTCCTCAAGAAGAATCAAGCTTACAAACACCTTCATCAACCTCAAGAATTCCCTCACCCAAGCTCCAATACTTGTTCAACCAAACTGGAACAAAGACTTCAACATTCAAGTCGACACCTCCAACTACACACTCAGAGTGATCCTTTTGCACCAACAAGAAGATCATAAAGACTGACCAATCTACTATGCAAGTTGAAGACTCAACTCAGTCGAAATGAACTACACTATAATTGAAAAAGAAGCTCTAGCAATGATCTACGCACTCCAGAAGTTTTGACACTACCTACTCAGTAACTTCTTTCACATTCTCAACAAAACTGTCGCGAATGTGACTTCGGGTATCGAAAGATACTTGTCGACCAGTCCTTACGGACACTCTTTCCTTACTGCCATGACGGCAGGAGGTCGGTACTGCTGGTTCCCATCATTGGCCCCTCTTGTCCAAGTGTTAGTAAACTGGGCTTAGCATCTGTACTTAGCCAGATGGACATAAGGTAGGAACTCTTATGTGTTTTTAGTTGAGCATTCTCGGCCTGGCTTTTAGTTCTCTTTTGCTCTGTCTTGCACTGGCTTGGCAAGAACCCTCGCGTATTGAGACTAGTCCCTTAATATCGCTGGATGATAGCTTACCGTGTTTGCCAAACACCCTCGCTATCACACCCTTTGTATTAGTCTCATTTCAGTCCCAAATGCTATTTATGGAAAGTGTCTAGATTCGCTCATTTGGCATATCTACGGAATGTTGAGGTCGGCCTGAACACAATGGTGTTCGTCCTGTGTCCAAATTCGCAATCTAAGGCCATTCCATATTTAGTAAGTTTTGAGCTTGTCCCAGAGACTAACTCCTGGTACTAAGGGTGGCTTGGGGTGAAAGCCCAAAGCATGTGTCCCTCAAGGGGGGGGGGGCTGTGGGGGGTTCCAAATGTATAGTAGGGATAGTGGTTGGAATGCATGTCCGACCACCTGAGACATTAGTTTGGCTCCCGCTGGGCTGTGTCGCTCCTTGTTCTGCGTCCGGCTTGGGTCTAAGCCCAAGCTCCACGCTGCTCTAGTCGGTGGAGTACCCTCCTCCTCGTGTTAGGCCACCGGTATGCCAAAATTGTGCCAGACTCCGTCTGACACCATTTTGTGTGCAGGTGCTGGATACAGGGAGCTGGTGCTCATGGGATTGTACTGGACCCTCGTTTCGTAGCGCAACGGGCTTGGAGTTCGGCTCCAAATTCAGGTGCGCTACATTTGGTATCAGAGAACTTGTCTCAGCGATTCCTATCCAACTTTTGTCGGATTTTCTGACTCAAGTTGCATACGCAGAGACTTTTCTAGTAGATCCGAAGCGACCTGTGTAGGATTTGTTGGATAGCACCATTCGGTAAGAACGTTATATGCATGTTCAGTTACTGATGGAGGCATGCATGCAGCTAGCAGAATGGTGAAGAGGAACCATGTTGATGACGCTGAAACCTCTAGACGGGCGAATCGAGAGGAGGAAACTCCGGCTAGAGATGCTTCGGAAGGGGCTGAGGCCGAGTCAGAAGAGGATGAGCCAAATGCTGCAGCACTGCAGCGCACGGCTCATGAAGTCGAGATCGAGAATTTGCGAAAAGAGATTCGCAAATTGAAGAAGGAGAACAAGAAGATGAAGAAAGGAGCTGAGGCACCTAAACCAGCCAAGCCTAAGCAACTGGACTCCTCCTCTAGTTCTGAGGACGATGAAGTTCTGCAGCCGCCCCCGGTTGCACGAGTTTCAAAGTTCAAGCCTCCAAAGCCACCCAACTTCAGAGGCATGCAGGACTATCAAGTTTTGGAAGACTGGGTCTACGATATGGAAAACTATTTCATAGCAGCAGACGTAGATGATCGTACGAAAGTTGCGTGCGCGCAATCCTTTCTCACCGATCATGCCAAAACTTGGTGGTGCCAGGTGTGTGCTGAAAAAGGGCAGACTAGAAGTTGGACCAAGATGCGGTCTCGTATCCGTAAGGAATACTTGCCGGATGATCTTGGTCTGAGACTTCGCGCAGAGCTGCGGCGGTTAAAGCAGCGAGGGGACCTTATGCATTACATTAATGCGTTTGCTCAGAAGCGCATTATGATTGCAAATATGAGTGACGAAGATGCTCGGAGTTATTTCTTGGAGGGTTTAAGTTCACTTTCTCGTAATGAGATCTTGAAGTTTAAGCCGAAGACATACCTGGAGTGTAAGGAGGCAGCGCAGCAAGTTGCCTTTAGTCACTCGCTCATGGAACAATATCAGCAACCTTATGCTGGTAACTCGGATAAGAATAGGAATTCTGGGAATAAGCAAGGTGATCGGAAACAAAAGGTGGAAAGTAGGTACCGCCCTGGGGGCTCACAAGCTACGGTGAATAAAGGTGGTGGTGGTTGGAGACCACCAACAGCTTCTTCTGGTCCTAGGCCCTCTGTTCCTCCTCCTGGTGGGTACAAGCAGCAGCAACCTGCAAAACCTGCTCCTAGCGGAACGGGTAGTGTGGGTCATTGCTTCCATTGTGGAGAGTCGGGACATAGGTCCTCGGAATGTCCCAACAAGCATAAGACAAGGTCTTGGGTTAATGTCATGAGGGAAGACGGTGGTGGTGAAGCTGAAGGGGTTGACGAGTTGGTCAATGCAGACTATGAGGAAGAAGAGGTGAGTAACTTTCGTTGCTTTCCTCAAGCTTTTCTTGCAGTCAATGCAAACACTGATCCGTTGATGTATCTGGTAGGCTTTGTCCGTGGACACCGAATCCGAGTGATGATTGACACGGGAGCTACGCACAGTGTGATATCCGAAGACTTAGTTAAGTTGTTAGGATTGAATGCTGAGCAAATGTCGCCTATGCACTTCCGGTTTCCGGAAGGTGGGCAAGTAGCCAGAAAGTTTGTGAGTGATGTTCCAATAAAGATATCCAAGTGGAAAGAAAGAGTGGACTTGGTAGTGTTGAAGATACCAGATTTTCAAATGGTGTTTGGTATGGATTTCTTCAACAAGTATATCAAAGGGATTTATGGTGCTGGACAAAGTCGTATCACGTTGAAGTCAGAAGGACGTCCTGATGTATCCTTTCAGTTGCAAAAGCGTTCCTCAAAGGATTGGGATGCAAAGTTCCTGACTGTGAGGGCCGCTCAAAAAGCAGCTAAAAGGGGATGTCAAACCTTTTGGGTTCAAGTGATGGAAGCTGAGAGTGTGGGTGACTCGGTTCGAATCGGTGACGGGGTTGATCTTGTACCACAGAAGATATTGGAGTTGTTGGCATGGAATCAGGATATCTTTCCAAAGGATTTGCCGCCAGGGCTACCCCCTAGCCGTGAGGTTGATCATCGGATTGAGGTTATTCCGGGTTCTAAACCACCTACAAAGGCTCCGTATCGTCTGAACATCAAGGAGATGGCTGAACTCAAGAAGCAACTCACAGAGCTTCTTGACAAAGGTCATATCCGACCAAGTAAATCCCCTTATGGAGCGCCGGTCCTTTTTGTTATGAAAAAGGATGGAACCATGAGGATGTGTATTGACTATCGGGCACTTAACAAGATCACGGTTAAAAACAGTTATCCTTTGCCTCGCATTGATGACTTGTTTGACCAACTCTTAAAGGCTAAGTATTTTACGCAACTTGATTTGCGGTCCGGGTATCATCAGATATGGGTGGTAGATCAGGATGTGGAGAACACAGCCTTTAAGACTCGGTACGGATCTTATGAGTTCCTTGTCATGCCGTTCGGGTTATGCAATGCTCCGGCAACGTTCAGCACTATGATGAATAGAATATTTGGAGATTATTTGGACGCATTTGTTGTCCAGCCAAGGGGAACCAGCACCTCCATTTCCGCACTGAATCTACCAATCCTACCAATCCTTCCATTGTGTAGACTAGCTATTCCATGTGAGGCAACTAGTCATCCACCCGTACCGCAGTCCCACGGTGGATACATTCGTCCGTGGATACTCCACACAAGAGGAAGGACGTACGCATGGATGCCCAATACGTATGATTTCAATTTTAGGGGTAGGAATATACCTTGCTCAAGGGTATATTATACTTTTTAAGTAGCCATTAATCAATAGGAATCAAACCCGTGCCATTTGCTCCGATACCAACTGTAGCGCACCTTATCTCTCTCCCCTTAAGCCAACTAGAAAAGGGGCAATTGCTTGATGAGAGAGCCCTTAGTGGCTATTTTATCCCCATTTATCCCCCAAGGTTCCAAGGATTCACGGTGACAGTATATCCAAATCTCATCCCATGATCACATGCGCACAGAATGATCACACAAAATGGTGTCAGACGGAGTCTGGCACAATTTTGGCATACCGGTGGCCTAACACAAGGAGGAGGGTACTCCATCGACTAAAGCAACGTGGAGCTTGGGCTTAGACCCAAGCCGGACGCAGAACAAGGAGCGACACAGCCCAGCGGGAGCCAAACTAATGTCTCAGGTGGTCGGACATGCATTCCAACCACTATCCCTACTATACATTTGGAACCCCCCACAGCCCCCCCCTTGAGGGACACACGCTTTGGGCTTTCACCCCAAGCCACCCTTAGTACCAGGAGTTAGTCTCTGGGACAAGCTCGAAACTTACTAAATATGGAATGGCCTTAGATTGCGAATTTGGACACGGGACGAACACCATTGTGTTCAGGCCGACCTCAACATTCCGTAGATATGCCAAATGAGCGAATCTAGACACTTTCCATAAATAGCATTTGGGACCGAAATGAGACTAATACAAAGGGTGTGATAGCGAGGGTGTTTGGCAGACACGGTAAGCTATCATCCAGCGATATTGAGGGACTAGTCTCAATACGCGAGGGTTCTTACCAAGCCAGTGCAAGACAGAGCCAAAGAAAACTAAAAGCTAGGCCGAGAATGCTCAGCTAAAAACACATAGGAGTTCCTACCTTATGTCCATCTGGCTAAGTACAGATGCTAAGCCCAGTTTACTAACACTTGGACAAGAGGGGCCAATGATGGGAACCAGCAGTACCGACCTCCTGCCGTCATGGCAGTAAGGAAAGAGTGTCCGTAAGGACTGGTCGACAAGTATCTTTCGATACCCGAAGTCACATTTGCGACACTCTCCCCCCCTTGGGGAAGATCGACATCCTCGTCGATGCATACCCGAGTCTAGCAAACCGTCAAGGAAACAACTCCGAAAGTTAACGGAAAGCACACTATGTGGGAAACACACCGACTTAAATGAGTTATGGAACGACCTCTCCTCTACGTCCAAAGACGTTAAAACTCAGACACCCTCCAGCCGTCGCTGACAAGGAAATGACCAACAGAGTTAACCACCCTTGCTGCTCCGAGTACCACCCAGCTTACAAAGGAATGATACATCCCTGCCCGCAGGGATATAGGGAGAAGGCCAGAGACCCAACTGCCCCTGAGCAAGAAATCAACCCCGTCGGGAAGATTTAGACAACTATTATAAACTTGCAGATTAAGTTGTTTACACGACCACGCCCCATTTCGAAAATGAGTCATCGAGAGAGAGGCGGGGACTTGTGATCAGTCTATAATAGTTATCCCCATGGTTATGGATTGGACACATGCACCGAAGTGCCGAAGTTAGCCTGCCAAAACTGACCCAAGTACTAACGAACGAGAGAAATGACACTTTGATTTATAGAAATATATTACTTTATTGATTTGCAAGATTTATTACAAGATTTTTATAAAAGCTAGTCTTTATTACTATTCTCATACTCCGTGACAAGCTCACGAGCATGGGTAAGATTACAAAGAGGCTCCCAAGTTGATTCACAAGTAGGGTAACCTTTCCATTTAACTAGATACTCCCGACATTTGGCATGTTTAAGCCAGCGTGAATCCAAAATAGCTTCAGCCTCATACTCAGGTTCACCGTCAATGATCGTAGGTGGAGGACGATCCTCAGCAGCATGATATGGTGCCAGTAAACTGACATGAAACACATCATGTACATGAGAGAATTCATCTGGAAGATCCAACTTATAGGATACATCACCAACTCGTCTCAACACCCTATAGGGTCCAACATATCTCGGCAATAATTTCCGAGATAAACATCCCTTAATGTTCAAGTTCCGGGAAGATAGCCACACTTGATCTCCCACTTGATAGGATACATCCCGACGATGCTGATCCTTATCATGTCGATACCTATCCTGAGCTTTGCCCATCGCCTCAGTAGCTCTAGACCAACCTTGGCGTAGCTGCTCCGCATAAGTCTCAACAGCCGGGACCAACATTTCGGACATAGGTTTCGGTACAACAATCTGTTGAGGAACCCCACGAGCATTCCCTTGCAATATCTCCCATGGAGAACAGCCTATAGCGCTATGAAATGTGTTGTTATAACAGATTTCTGCTGTGTCTAAATGCTCAACCCAGTCGCGTTGGTCCGCCGCGACATAGTACCGCAGATAATCCTCAATTTGAGCATTCACGTGTTCGGTCTGCCCATCAGTCTGAGGATGATAAGCCGTACTAAACTTCAATTTGGTACCGAACAACTGGAATAGGGTCCCCCAAAACTTCCCCGTAAACCTCGAATCTCTATCTGAGATCATTTCTTCAGGAAGACCACGAACTCGCACTACTTCATG